TAGGATGAAATTAGTGAGTTTTTTTTTTCATGTCTAGCAAAAACTCTTGGGGCGTTCATGTACAAATTGGTACCTCAATTTTTTTTTTTTAGTAATGATTGATAGATTTTTTCTATTGGTAACAAAACTTTGTATTTGTCTAATTCTGTCTATAATCATACCAGTGATGAGAACAAATTGGACTGATCAATCACATGATTACAGAACAAACAGGACTCCATGCAGTCTTACTACCTTTTCTTATTGCATTATTTTAACTTTTTTGTCTTATTAAGTGAAATATATTCCTCTAAATATTGCTGTTGTGTTTATCTCCAGATTAAAATTGCAGCATTGAGAATAGCAGCAGACAAGTTTGATCCAGATTTCATAGAAAAACGAAAAGCAGCTCTTGAGGTAAGCATGAGTGGAGTAGAGTTTGTTTGCTGTGTTATTCGTTAACTTCATTTTACCAACCCCTACATCCTGCATAACACAGATGCTTATTACTCGGGGAAGGGAGGAGCATGGCTTTGTCATTTAGAGTTCAGGTCACTCTACTTACAATCCTGCAGTTGTGGGTTTGAAACCCACCCTAACCACTGGCTGGATTAGTTTCTCATTTGTCGCAAGTTTTGATTCCTCCGCTAGGGAGCCAGCTGGTCTGCTTCCAGTGTCAGGTTTATTTATTTTCAAATTTTTACCAGCTTTTTGTGTGTAGCTTGCAGCTTGTTGGTGAGACCATCGCTCTTGCATGTTGTTGTGAAGATGGATTTGGATCATGTCTAGTTCAGTCTGTAATCACATTCATGATTAAACCAATAATGGTCTCCTGCCATGCAGCTGTCCGATTTTGTTAATCACTCATGATTACAAACTGAATTGGACTCCACTCATTCCTATTACCATTATTCATTTTACTGGTGTTTTGTTGTAGAGTTTTCTCTTAAGATGTGCTGCACATCCACAGTTATCAATGGATCTCACATTCATTGGATTTTTTAACCAGGTACTTATGCCTCTGATTTGTTATTCAGAGAGGAGTCTACATAGTACAGTTACAGTCTTTTCCGTATGCAACTTCCTCTTTTCCCATAATGCACCTTATTTGCCCCCCTTATTTCTCTTGGGACGGCTGTAATACCCAAGGGGAAATGAATGAAAAACAAAGGTTATGCAAAATTGAAGGGGGGGGGGGGGGGGGGGGGGTGCTCTTTTGGCTCTTTTGGTGGTAATACTCGCCGTTCGAGCTAAAAAACTCTTTTCAGCGCCTTTATCACCTTTATCCGCCATTTTGGATTCTACGATACCGCTGACACTGACAGTACGCATGCGTTGAATGACAGCGAGGAAAAACATCATGGCGGACTATTTAGGGGAAGAGTCAGCGAAGAAAGTACAATATTTTCCCGAAGGAAGTCTTTTAAATACAATGACCATATCCATAATTGACTCTGAGAAGAGGTACACTGATATCCTCAAGGAACCTTACACCGTTTATCTCATCGAAACCAAGTGAGTTAGAGTAACAAGAAATTTTGCTATCGTACCCATTTATTTACAAGATTTATCACTCGATGAAAATTTAGGTTAAGCCATGGTTGTTAAAAAGATTTACAGATTGCTCAAACGCTGCATAGGTCTTGTTAAACTGATCCTAGGTTCTCGTTTGATCAGTCAACGTCAATAAACGGATGCATCGGGGCTTTTCCAAGGGGTCTTTATTGGGGTAGGGTGACTGGTCAGGGTAATTTTCACCCCTGCACTATTATTTAAATTCTTTGTGATTTCAATGTTTTAATTAAGCGTGAGAGCCCATGAAGGCTTTGATATTCACAAAGAGGATTTGCTTCAAGGAAATCACCAAGTAGATTTTCTCGGTAAGGTTCAAACACAGTTAGCTCTCAGCAAGCAGATTATTTTTTCACCCATCACATCATTGTAAATTTAATATTGTACATTTGGTGTTTGATGAAGTAGATCTCAGTAAGCTCTGATGAGTTTTTCCAAAGGAGATCCCAAAAGATCCAGATTCCCTCACGGCTAGCTCTTGCTGTCTACCATGAAAAAAATAATGACGCGTGTGCAAAGAACTAGATGTGAAGCTTGGTCAGGACCTTACAAATTAATGAATTTGATCTCTGGGGATCAAACTTTCTCTTTGAATAGTAATCATTAAAATGTAAAGCATTGCGAAGGCCCAAGCCTGCAAAACAGCCATCTTTCCTGAGGGACATCCGTCCCTGAGTAAAACATCTCCAGTGGCAAAGAGAGATGGCTGTTTTGGCAGGCTACTAAGGCCATTCCATAGTTGCCCTGAAACTTTTTAAATAATTTTAAGAAATAGTTTACAGTAAGGTTAATTTTGACAGTTGACAGTAAGGTTAATTTGTAATCATATTGTAAAGTTAGACATTTGTTTTGAGTATAGAAATAACATAAATTTGTTGTCATTAAAAGTATAAAACTATTCTGATGACTGTTTTCAGGTATATTGATGGAGGTCCTCCAGCCGGAGAACCTGACATGTCATCGTCAATATGGAGACGATATAGTGAATTTGAACTGTTAAGAAATTATCTTGTTGCAAACTTTCCAGCGGTAAGCAAATGGATTGAAAATGTTTACAATATTACAGTCTACACTGTACAAGTACCTCTCTTGTAGGTGTGAGCCTAGCTTAAGTGGAAGTCCCTCATCAAGAGGTGTCCAGTAAAAATAAATTTTCAGTCCATTTTGTTGTTGTCTTTATTAGTTGTAAGGGAGTGTATACCCTATTCTGGGCAAATTTTATAGAGGGGACTTAAGAGGGGTTTGTGGTGGGTGAGCTCCTTATTCATTACTGTAGTTTGCTTATGAACAATGTTAGCTGTGGGGGACTCCCTACACATACTTACCCCCAGGTTGGGCTGCACCAGACGTAAAAGGTGTTCCTGCCTTTTGATCTAATCTAGTTGTTGTTTATCAATCCAGAGTAACCCTCTCAGCTTCTTCACCTCGTACACTTATTTTTCCTGACTTCATAAGATAATTCTTATCTGTGAATTTTGTTGCAAGTTAACATATATGGTTAGGCACTTTTAATTATTATTATTGTTATTATTATTATTATTATTATTATTATTATTAAAGACAAAAGCTACATGTATGACATGTATGTCCGTAATAATAATAATAACAATAACAATAATGAAGCTATTTAGCTTGATCTCTCATTGTTAAAAGCATGGATAGCTTAAACTATAATATGATTTTGTAAGGTTTAAAATTCATTTGAACACATTTCTTTCAGTTGGTTGTCCCCCCTCTGCCAGAAAAAAGGGTAAGAACAATAATAAATTATTATTTTTCGGTAGTCATATAACTATGACAAAACTGTCATAAACAGGGATCATAATCATAATCAGCAATCTAGAAATAGAGAAGGGTCAAGCAGGACTTCCCTAGACTCAACAGCTATAGATACTTTATTATTGGGATGTACATAGAAATTTTTCATTTTTTAGTTTATAGACAGTTGTTTAGTATTGCTCTGTTGAAAACCACCAGACCACCAAGAAGTCTTTTTTTAACTATAGTTATACTAAATTTGTATTTAATTTTCATTTTGAGAAGAGTTTAATAAAGTATATTTTTTGGAAAAATGACAAAACTGTCTATTCTGTTTGGCTATTGGCAGCCCTGATTTCAGCATTACAGTCAAGGCAGGTCAAGCGTACCCCCCAAGATTCTATGAATGAATTGATTATTAAATTTTGAAAAATGAAGCCGTTAGTGGTTCCCCTAACTGGTGTCAAATTCAAAGCGGCATTTCTGCATGCGTAATGAGCAGTGAATATTTTACGAGAACTTCTCTGTATTTGGTCAGATTGAAAATCTTTGAATGGATTAAGTTTCTTAGAAGACATTTACATCAAATTCAGGAAAACTGAGCCGGTAGAAATTTCATAACTGCCTCGCGTGTGAATTCACGGCTCATCACGCATGTAAGAATGCAGAGATCAATCTGAAATCTACAACTAGCAACAGATTCAACTTTCGAATAATAAATTCATTAATGGATTCTTCGGGGGTTCGCTTGACCTGGTTTGACTGTAATAAGACAGTGTAATAGGACAGTACACATCATGTCTGAGTATTATAATATTATTGTACAGTAAAGGCCATCACTTGCAATAAATGTAGGATGAAATTAGTGAGTTTTTTTTTTCATGTCTAGCAAAAACTCTTGGGGCGTTCATGTACAAATTGGTACCTCAATTTTTTTTTTTTTTAGTAATGATTGATAGATTTTTTCTATTGGTAACAAAACTTTGTATTTGTCTAATTCTGTCTATAATCATACCAGTGATGAGAACAAATTGGACTGATCAATCACATGATTACAGAACAAACAGGACTCCATGCAGTCTTACTACCTTTTCTTATTGCATTATTTTAACTTTTTTGTCTTATTAAGTGAAATATATTCCTCTAAATATTGCTGTTGTGTTTATCTCCAGATTAAAATTGCAGCATTGAGAATAGCAGCAGACAAGTTTGATCCAGATTTCATAGAAAAACGAAAAGCAGCTCTTGAGGTAAGCATGAGTGGAGTAGAGTTTGTTTGCTGTGTTATTCGTTAACTTCATTTTACCAACCCCTACATCCTGCATAACACAGATGCTTATTACTCGGGGAAGGGAGGAGCATGGCTTTGTCATTTAGAGTTCAGGTCACTCTACTTACAATCCTGCAGTTGTGGGTTTGAAACCCACCCTAACCACTGGCTGGATTAGTTTCTCATTTGTCGCAAGTTTTGATTCCTCCGCTAGGGAGCCAGCTGGTCTGCTTCCAGTGTCAGGTTTATTTATTTTCAAATTTTTACCAGCTTTTTGTGTGTAGCTTGCAGCTTGTTGGTGAGACCATCGCTCTTGCATGTTGTTGTGAAGATGGATTTGGATCATGTCTAGTTCAGTCTGTAATCACATTCATGATTAAACCAATAATGGTCTCCTGCCATGCAGCTGTCCGATTTTGTTAATCACTCATGATTACAAACTGAATTGGACTCCACTCATTCCTATTACCATTATTCATTTTACTGGTGTTTTGTTGTAGAGTTTTCTCTTAAGATGTGCTGCACATCCACAGTTATCAATGGATCTCACATTCATTGGATTTTTTAACCAGGTACTTATGCCTCTGATTTGTTATTCAGAGAGGAGTCTACATAGTACAGTTACAGTCTTTTCCGTATGCAACTTCCTCTTTTCCCATAATGCACCTTATTTGCCCCCCTTATTTCTCTTGGGACGGCTGTAATACCCAAGGGGAAATGAATGAAAAACAAAGGTTATGCAAAATTGAAGGGGGGGGGGGAGGGGGGAGGTGCATTATGGGAAATGTGGAAGTGGCGTAAAGCCAACCTACCTCACATTGTATGGAAAAGTTAGTTATTGTTGTTTACCATGCTGCTAGCATACTATGATAATATAATTTTTTATATTATTAATAGCAAAAAACCCTTTTGTTTAGGGCAAGTACTATTTCTTGTATGGTACGTAAGCAACTATCTCTGCTCACTTGCAATATATTATTGCTGCCTCATGGGGCCCCTGGTGCCATATGTAATAAACTAGAGGTAATGATTGATTACGGATCTGCGTTTATCATTTATGGAAAAATTACGGAATCAAAATCAAGTCAAAGGAGTCAAGTTTCTCGGCCGAGGTGCCCCTGATGAAATTAATAGGGAAGGCTAATTTGCAGTCACCCGTGATAGCTCTAAGATTTCTCCGTTAGTGCCACAGGAACACCAGATTAGGATGCGGTCTGATGAACACAGTTATTTTTCTGAAAGACATAAAGATGGATAATAATAATTAAGAATTATTATTGAGTGTAAAATTTAAGGAAAAAGCTCAATAAAAAATTAATGATACAGAATTATATTAGAGCTATGTTTTGAAGTAAAGAAATCAAACTGGTCGCTGTTCAGGACTTTTTAAAGAAGAAAACACAATGGCCAATCCTGAAAAGTTCAAGAGGGCAAGGATAAACAAAATTGAAAGGTTTCATTCAAACTATAGACCTTTCCCCGCGTTCCTGTAAACAAAGGCATGAAGTCGAGGCTCGGGTGGACAAAATACAGTGATTTGTATGTAATTGTCCACCTGACCATTGTCCTCATTTTTTTATGTTTGCTCACTGGAGCAGAATGCAGGAAAGGTCTATTGAATGGTTAAATTATGATATATGAGTAAATTGCACCTTTTTTTATAGGAGGAAGGTTGGAAAGAAGCTGTGCAAGCAACAAATTACCAAAGCAAGGTCTATAATTAATCGCTCTTTTTGTTTCCCCATTAATGAAGTGCAATGTATGCAAGGTTTCCAATAAAAAATCTTTTGATACTTTTGTCATTTCTTTCAGGTTGACTCCAGGCTTAAAAGTTGGAGTGCTTCAGCCAAAGAACCAGATAGGTAGCACTGCCTTAAGTTAATTTCTAGAAAGGGTGCAGCCAAATAGTACATGTTTGTCCTATGTTCAACCCAGAACATCATTTGTCTGAACAAATATATTTTGTATTGTTATGTTAGTCTCACAAGAGTATGTGTGCCATGTTACATGGTCATCATAACTGCAGGTCTGGAGTATTTAAGAAGTGCTTGAAAGGTGTCTCTAGCGGGGGGGGGGGGGGGGGGGCTAAAAGACTATTTAAGGTTTGTTAAGTTACGCAAGGGCTGTTCGAGTCAAATTCGAGACATTTGTCATCCCTGATTTTATTTTGTTGACCTTCTGTTGTAGTCTTCCCTGAGACTGTAATGCTGTAACGCTGGCTCCATGAATGAACATGATGCCCACTCCTATTTCTGTGTTTTGGGATTATTTAGATTAGTTACAAAGCTTTTTATAATCGTTTCAGTGTGATTAGAGTATAAATATTTTGAAGAACATGGAACAAAATACCTTTGGATTCTAAGAAAAGACTTGTAATGGACAGAATAATGATTTATCTGCCATCTCTGTAAATTTGGTAGGAACAGATTTTTGGCTTGAAAGCATTCTTCTTTGGTGCAACACCTGTTTTTTTCCTTCTTTCTTATAGTTTTGTTTTAATTTATGTAGTATTTCTTCCCAGGAGATTTGAAGACATGAAGCATTATGCTGAAAATTTAGGCACCAATGTAGCAGCCATGATCAAAGTTCGACAGGTAACAGCATTAGCTAAATTTTTTGAAGCAGGGTTTACTGGTTTTCACCAACTCGTTTACTAATAAGTGTTGTTGTTTCTTTCTTGTTCAAAGCACATTGCTGATATAGTATATTCTATTCACAAACAACATGCTAACTATGGCAAAGTCTTCAGGTAACTTCCATAAATATCTTCCGCTAATAATGCTGTTTTTTCATACCCCTGTCATTGTCATACAAGGACAAAAAACAGGGCAACGATAATTTTTGAACAGAGGTGAACATTAATAAGTTGCCTTTCTTATTCCAAATATTAATGTTTGTTCAGTTTCTGTAAATCCTCTAAGTTTTAGTTTACAGTTCAAAGTTACTTGAAAATTGCTGTTTTTGGAGAAAACAAAAGCATATTGTATATAAAGATAGACATTTAAAGGACAATACCCAAATTCAGATAATCTCTAATCTCCTTTGGAAGCTAGTGCCTGGATATAGGCACTGATACTCTTGTAAAGCAAACTGACTAGGTTGTTGAAATAATGTCTTTAACAGTGAGTGGAGTTCATTGGAGAAGGAGATGGGTGATGGATTGCAGAAGTCAGGTCACTATATGGACAGGTCAGATGCTACATGTGGTTAACCATAAGGAAAATGTAGTTTATACACTGTTCCTTGCTCAAAGAAAACCACTCAAAAACAGACGTGAAAAGCTGGTCCTGGCTTTAAATGTCACATTGCTTGTTTTAAATCTTTAACTAAACTGGCCACTGTTATTTTTTGTAGAATATTTTTGTGGACTATCAATTCAACTTTTCATTTCTCATGCAGCTTCAACCATGATTATTTTTTGACTGTAAGTAGTCTCTCTTTTGCTTGAAAATCTGTAAGTGAGAGTATTGGGGCAGCAAAGTCACACAAGTTGCAAGGGTGCTAGTTACGAAGACGTGAATATTGGTGAGTGATTTCTACCAGAATTGTCAAGCAATTTCAAGATTTTCTGATTCATCGTGAAGGCTAAATTAATGGTGGAGGCTAAATCGTGAGAGTGTGAGTTGACAGCCCAAACCGTGAGAGTTGGAAGGTCCGTCATGTAGGTCATTAATAAAGGTCCTCCCTGTTTACTCCTTTCCCCAATCCAAAGCTCAAAATATAAAATTCTTGATGACTGTATGTGTTATATACTTTTGTAACCATTTACCTTGGGTTCGTTTTGATGTGAAACAGACTTGCAGCATCTGTTGACGAGGTACTTGAAGATGATGATATGAGCTTTTCAGAGCAGCTAAGGGAATATCTGCACTTTGCTGATGTTTTAAAGTAAGTATATTAAAGTAAAGTGAGTAGCTAACCACAGCTGAACAGAAAAATATTGATTATTTTCCACAAAAAAATATCACATCATTTATAATAAAATATAAATAAAATGACATAATGTGCTAAAGATGGGTAAGTTTAAGTCGCTGTTTTAGGTTTGAAGTACATTTTCAATGAACTATGAGGGCTCAGAGATTTATTCAACAGGAAATAGCAGTAACAGTTACTGTGGGAATTACCCCAGATGCATTTGGGTTCTAGTCATTGTTTTAATAAGTATTATTTTTATTGTGTGTTTTCAAGGGGAGTTGCCCATAGACAGCAGCTTCGTCAGTATGATGCAGAAAAGGCGGAGGACAATTTATCTACAAAGAAGACGCAAAGAGATGACATGATTGCTCAAAAGGTCATTGCGCTAACATAACTAGTAGTAGTAGTAGTTAGTTTCCATAGCAACCACTTGTAATTTAATGAGTATTTGCTTTGACACTGAAATTGTTACCACTGACTGCGGGGTCACGAATAAGGATCTATGCAGAGGAGTTTACTGGACACTACAGGTGTACATTGAAGTGACAAAGACTGTAAATAATAATAATAGCTATTGTTATTATTAGATTAAACAGAACTCACAAATCTGGATCCTGCCAATAAAACCAACCTAGAAAAGGCTCTGCTATATTCAGGCTCAAGAAATATTACCAGGGCTGTCACTAAGAGTCAGGGGCTGGGGATTTCCCCTTACTGCCACCCCTGGCTACTTTCATAGGCAACAGAAGAAAAATAGAACCAAAAGAATTTTGCAGTTGTACATTCAATTCCTCACCTAATAATAATAAATTACACATATATGGCAACTTGAAATCTTAATGAGAGCCCTGGATTGCCAGGCACGGGTCTAGGATGAATACTGACCAATTTCCTGAATGAGTGCCAAAGGCACAAGCTTGTAGTGGGGTCTAGGGGCATGTATCCCAGGAAATTTTTTAGATTTTAACTACTTAAAGTCCCTTTCCTCCAAACTATTCTCCAGATTCAACTTTTTTTTTGTTATTAAAAATATATTTATAATGAAAAATAAGACTGATTCCCGTAAACGGTGGAAACCGGTGTGGATCCATGCCTGATCACTTTCTGAGGCGGTCCCCAAATTATTCACCAGTAATCTGGGCTCAGCTCCTCCTAAGATGGTTAAGTTTAACCCAAGATTAAGTAAGAACATGCAACCCAAGCTCCTTTACTCTGAGATTCAGTAATGATAACACAAAATATTACTCTGGGCAATGCATTATTAGAAAGTAAATACAAAAAGTGAAAATAATTTTAATCCTGGATTAGCGCTGATCCGCCATTCAGGAACTGGGCCCAGGGTCACCAGCTCCCAATGGTACAAGAATCATATAGATTGCCTTCTTTTGTCTCATGTTTGTTTTTCTGCAGGAAGCAATAGAGAGTGGACAAGCCCCACCCAAATCAAGTGGTTTTTCATTCAAGGGATTGTCATCCATGATATTTGGAGCTGAGTCTCCTGAAGTATTAGGAACCAAAATTAGCAACTTGGAAGAACAAATTAGTGATGCTGAGGAGGTTGTCAAGACAACAAAAGAAGATCTTAGGTGCGATACTGTAATTTTGCTGATGGATGTCAAGAGCAAATGTGAAAAAATTAATACATTTTTTACCTCTTGCAAAATACATTGTATAGCGTTACTCAAGCTGATGTCACCTACTGATATTTATGTGCCAACCAGAAGCACATAGGTTCTTGTAACAAAAAATTATTTCATTTCACTTGTTACAAATTTGAATAACAAAAAAACAATGTTTGTAAACACTGATGTCTCCTATAAGAAAACCAATATCTCCGCTGGAAAGTACATGCTCTGAAAATTTAAGTCAGTAGGCACATTGTAAACTTGGCAGCATATAGAACAGGACCGATCATTAGTATCATTTCATTCAGTGCTGTGACTTGAGGAAATTTTTTATAAACTTTACATAAGGAGGTCGGCAAAATGGTGATTCCCTTGTCTTCTCATCATTCTCTCATCAAGCTATACAAATAGAAACTGTGATTGATGATAGATCAAAACATAATTAGCTGTGTATGATAATTTAAGCCTGATTGGTCAAATTGTCTGCAGAAATTCTGCTTCTAAAAGAAGAAATGTTACAAAGAATGCATGTCTCAGAAGAGTCTCTGTGAATGGCCACCAAGCAATGCCGTAGTTTCTAAAAGCTGATCTTTCCAAAAATAATGTTTCCGACAAGAAGTTTCTATAAGGTTACTTGGGCAAACCAGGTCTTGCATCTGTTGAATTTATTTTGTAAACCATAGAATCTGTATTAAGGAGACGCCTGAGAAATGTGTGTCTGCTAAATACAGGTTCGTTTTACAAAAAACATGGGAATTCAAGTGTATCTTGGTAACTGTTTTTGAGTTAATTTTGTTTGTCATTTAGAGTTTTTAATGAGGAAGCTGTCAAAGACTATGAACGCTTCAGGAAACAGGAAGTCCGTGATTTAAGAGGAGTGTTGGCAGCACACATCAAGGCTCAAATAGCTCTATGTAAATTGGTATGTTGCATTTGTTTTTGGTAACCAAGAAACTAAGCAGACAGCAAACTTAATAATTGCTTTTGATACTAAAATAATATCATTCACTTGCAAGTGACTCCAACATCTTGAAGGAAATTTTCCAGGCAGAGGCATGTTGTTTTAATTTACAACAAATGAACCAACCAGCTCGTGGTTTCAGTTGAGCCTGTTTACAAAAAAACATGAATGGACTGAGGGCAAGACTATTTTTCCTTTTATGCAGTATGTGATCTTTCTACAGTTGACTCTCTCTTAATGGACACCTAGAGTTGGTCCCTGCCTTTCTTTACTCCCTTTATTCGACTCTTCATGAGACGGACACCTCTATAAAACAGACATCTTTACTTGACTCTTTATAAGACAGACATCTCTCTAAGATGGACACTTAATACCGGTCCCAAAGGTGTCTGTCTTTGGGAGAGGTGACTGTATCTTAAGAGACATAATATTATTTTATTATTTAAAATAAAAGCTGACTGTAAGCAGTCTATGAAGGAACACCCTTCTATTAAGAGAAAATGCAAAGGATATTTGTTATAGAAATAAAAATCACCAACTCACCTTGACAATACGCATTATTATAGAAGTCTTTTTTTGAAGCTAACCAGTTATCTTGTATCTACAAAAAATGGGTGAATGCAAAAATATTTCCCACCTCAATTTACTGGTAAGACTGTGAACTTCTGTAGGTTACAATGTATGGACTACACTTCATTATTTTTCATTATCTTGCAGGGAATTTCAACATGGGAGGACATGAAAGAGACTGCCAAAACATTATAATAATAACTAGTCATTTACAAATGTGAAAAATATAAATATTAATTACCTTTAATACTGTGTTTGAAACCAGAATTTTTTTCCAAAGCAAACAAGGATTTTACAATCCAATTCAGTCATTCAAAATAAATTCTCCTTCGTTATCCACTATTTTTAATTTTTTCATAAAATTGGTTGGATGAAGTAGTGAAAAATATCATAGTTTATTACACAAAAAAATCCAAATCCCATCTAATTAAGTATCCAGATAATTTGTATGGGTGATCATTAAGACTCTCTATGGGTATTTATGACAAAATCCAAGTCGCGATGATTGCCATTCTGGTCAAGTTTGAGAACATAAGTCGAGCGACGAAGGTGTTAAAGAAATCTGCCAGGAAGTGTGCAGTAAGTTCAGAGTTCTTGTTTTGCTTAAAGCTGCTGCTTTTTTTAGTGTTTTTATTTTGATCATCAGTGTCATGGTAGCACGAGCTCACTAGCAGCTTTACCTCACAGAAAAATTCTTGATGCGACGATCTGATGGGAAAATATGCAATGATGTCCACAGATACCCATGGAGAAGCTCATTATTGGCTTAAATCTTGTTTCCAATAATTGAACCTGACACTTTGCCCTGAGTGAGAAGTTAGTGTTTATTTTGGGTTAGCAGAGGGGTAGAAGAATGAATGAACAAATGAATGAATAAATGAAATGTCACCGTCTGATGAGGGGACAACAGTGAAGAGAATACAAGTTCTCATTACAATGGAACCTTGATGTAAAGAAGGCCCAAGCGACTGGGAAAATTTGTTTGCTATAAGGAGGTTTTCTTATATCAAGGTTGTTTTCCATATATTCTACCATTACTGGGGTAGACAAAATCATTTCAAATAGATAAGAGTTTCTGTTAAAACAGGTTCGGCTTTGGTGCTATCAGCATTTTACTGGTGTGAAACGAGTTTGAATGTGTGCGACTTGTCAAATAGCAATTTTTTTTAAGGTGTGTGTCCCTGCTTCACATCACAGAGACTTGCAGCATGACCTATAAACATGAACTGGTTTGTAACAATGCTTATTGCCTTGTGTATATTGTCACCCTCTTTCAAAGCATTACTCCAAGTGGAAAGGGGGTAGGGTGCATGTATTTTGGGTACAAGTAAATTAGCTAGTATATTTCTGGGTTAAGATCGAGTTGATGAAACAATTGCTTGGCAATGTCGGAGGAGTGTATTAGTCAGGTATTTTTTTGAGATGATAAAATAACTAAGCTCAGTTATTCTATTAACAGACTATAAAGGTGGCGATTACAGGCGCAGAGCCACCATTTTACTGAAATCAGTCAGATCTTAATTTCATAACAAATGCATGTTTAACAAAGCAAATAAATTTCCCAAGTTGAAACTTGTCCAATAACATCCTGTCTGAATGACTCAGAAACCCTGGAAAAGGGACTGTTTTTAACGTAAGGGGTTAAAATCGAAGAAATCGAAGAGAGGGCAGCCCCCAAAAAGTTATGGATAATTTGGAGGGAGGAAAAGAAATAAGAGTATGTTGTGTAACCTGCAGGAGGCAGGTTTTATCATGGGCTCTAAAGTAGGCAATTTTACTTTTGTAGTTGTTATTTTCCCAATTGAGACCATGTGATGTTGTCCCAGAGATTTGGTTTCTTCTTGAATCTAGTTATGCACGAATATGAATGTGGAAAGAACAACATTAATTATTATTTGAAAGAAACATTTATCTGGGGTAACCTCAGATGTTCTGCAAATGGAGAAAAAAACATACAAGGTAAAAAGGTCTATTTGGAAGCTGAAAATTCTTTTAGGACAACTTTATCAATGAATGTTGCACTTTCACAGTTTTTCTCATAATATGCATTTAAATGTATGTTTACAGCTAGACTTAAAATTAAATCAAACAACCACCATACTGTATCCTTATCTCAACAGTGCTTCGGCATTGTCATTGTAAGAAATGCAGACACTACTTTTGAGTGGAAATACTGTGGAGAATGGGTGACCCTAAATTATTTCAAGACCTTTCAAGGCGCGTGCGAACCCTGTAGGTTCTTAGTTCTCGTTGTGAACAAAAAAAGTTTAAGTTTGTGACACTTTTTGTAATGTATCAAGACTTGCATGTGTGGTTGACTTACTCTGACTCAAACCAAGTAACTTGATGTCCCTTAATAAAATTAATAAAACGAATTCCACTGAGAAAATTTTTTGCAGTGTCAGGATTATGCAACTTGGAGATAGAATTGAACCACACAAAAAAACTACACAGTAGTAGTGCACATACCGTAGAATTTGCTTCAGTTGCAGTGGACAAAGATTGGAAGGATTAGAAAAGACTATGCAACATCAAATGAGAACACACAAGCACACAGAAAGGAGTAAATGTGACTCAGGTACTCAATTTTTACTCTGCCATTGGTAAATTATGTTTTCAGATCTCCGCATGGCATTGTCACTGTCATCAGGAATCTGTTTAATATTAATATGATCAGGAAAGGAATCCTGACACCCATGCTACTGATTTCACTTCAAAGACAAAGAAGGGAACTTACACACAGGATATAATAAATTGCATGACAAATATGCCTGCAATGCAAGGTTTTGATTGGTTGATTGCAGGAGTAGGTGTCCTCACACAAGCCACACCCAGTCACTGACATCACTTCAACGCTTGAAAAGAAATAGTATCGTTTGCATCCCATGGCTCATGTCCAGAAACAAATGAATTAAAGAAGCTCTCAAATATTAGAGTGTGAATAACACAATCCAGTAGAAGCCTGACATTTTTGTAGTTATTTTAGAACATATCTCTGAGTGTCAACTGACTGTCAGTTGATAGCCAGCTTACTTTAATTTTGTCAGACATCAGCCAACAGATTTATAGATGAGGTGATGTTCCTTATTTATTACCATAGAAATAAAATAAAACAAAAACGTTTGGTTAACTCAATTTGAGGATTTTATTTGATTTACTGTTTACATGTTTTGCTTAAGCAACCAAAGCTGAGGCAGTTGATGACTCACTGAAACAAGAGAAAAATATAGTACTTGTAAGTGGTTGTTCTATATGAGGTGAATTTGGGTAAATTATTTTCAAAGAATGAACAGACAAGAAAAATCGCTCACAATCTGACCTATTTCATCCAATGTAACAAACCCAACAAGGAAGAATTATTGTGATGCCAAACTGAAAACAAACTCTCTCTGGCACTTTTCTAGCCTTAAGCACTTGGACAGATTTTTCCCACACTTAACAACAACACATCTACAACCTGTACTTTGCGGGGCTAAAAATAATCCTGTTCTGTCATCTAGGACAAGTAGAATTTCTAGCTGGACAAGAAGCTTTCACCCTTGCTCACCAGACAGGCAAGAGCTCAGGAAATCTTGGCTTTCAACAGAATTGCTTTTAAACCAAACATGTTTAGACAGCTGCTTGTCTAAAGAAAAAAACTGGAGTGAAGTTTTTTTTCCAAGCCTGACATTGTAAGATTTTTCTTCATCAGTAAGCAGACAGTATACTTGGATAGATACATGTATATTCCATCACCCAATTTAAGGAACTTTACCATGAACCTAAGAATAGGAGTACTGGAAAGTTATTTTAAGAGAGGCCAATCACACGAGATAACTGCACGGTAATGGTAACAGTTATTAATTTGTGGTTTGCTTAGGTGTCCTGATCACCAACTGTATGACAATCACATTTCAATGTGTCAGCAGTTACGGTTTTATTGACTTTGACAATTTGTAACAAACTGTTCATTTTCTATTTCGTTGGGATTTTGGAGAATTTCAGCAAAATCACAGGCATTTTTGACACTCCAGGATTGCATTCTTCTGAAACTTATGTTACACCATAACAAGGAGTAGTTCTTACTATTTCCAGTTTGGAGGCAAAACTCTCTTGGTCTTGTAGTAACGAGCCAAACGATGAATCCTGCTTTCAATGAGAATAAGCCTGAACTTGGAATCCTTGTCCTAAACAGCAAATACATATAGTTTCAATAATTTTAAAACATGCTTCATAAGAAACAACGTCATACAGGGTTGTCGCTAAGATTTCGAGTTGCTGGGTAAATACAACAAGTAGGCAGGGAATTAATCACTTGGGGGTTTCTTTTGGTTCTAGTTTTCTTCCATTTTCCAATAAAAGTAGCCAGGAGCCACACTCATAGTAGCCGGGGGAAGTCCCCAGCCCCCAGCTCTTAATGACAGCCCTGTGTCATAAGTTAAAAAGATTCTCATCTAAGTCCATTAACTCACTTGCCCCCAAGAACTTTGCCAAAAAACATGTTTTGAAGCTAGTCGAACTGTTTTCTGGTCACTGTCTGGCTTTTAAACCAAAACGCTGTTTGCAGGTTGTGCACTTCAATCTCTGTGGCCTAGTGGAACAAGCTTTTCATCGGTATGGCAGTGCATCTGCACGGGCAGTTCGGGGGCGAATGGGTTAATATCAAAATTAATTGTAACACACACCTTCCTATGCTTTTCAAGATGTTTACGAACAGCAACTGCTTTTTTGATCAGGAAGTAAAGATCTTCAGGAAGGCTTCCTGCAAGCCCTGATAAAAAAATAAAGTGTTGCACAATCAGTTTTCATAATTTCATCACCAGAACGAGGAGAAAGAAAAAAAGTATCCAGGACACTCTATAAAAATTACCTTTTGCTTTTAGGATTCTGAGGATCTTGTTTCCTGTAATGTAGCGCACTTGCGCAACACCATGTGAGTCACGCAAAATCACACCTATTTGAGCAAAAATATTTTTAAAAAATACTGAGCAAGGAAGGAGGATTTCATTTTCCTCTGTGGGGTTTACCTCTGATGTGCCGCACCAATAACAGCCCGTAATCTCCAAACTATCATTTACTTGTTCTAGTCATAGCTACACCCTTCAAACAGTCGCTCAATGAAAGGATAGTCATCTTGATTCGCTAAATATTAATGGAAGCTCAAAGATGGTTCTTAACAAGATGACTGTGTTGACTGCCAAAGTAACATCTGCCCAACCAGGACTCAGAGTAAAGTTTCCTACATAGCATCTACCACATCTAGCGGGGTCAAAAATTGCTTTGTTAAGATTTAAGTTGCTGACTACTGTGAGCTTTGAGTGGTCAACATGACAGATGAGTAAATTTTTTACCCAGTCAAATCGACATTTTGGCTGGACATTGTCCATTTACCAGCTGTTGTGTTGGGCCCTAGAAGTCTGCTTTATTCACCATTTCCAAAACCCTGGCCATCAGGCAAGTCACTCAGGTAATGTGCTCTTATGATAAAAGATGATACAGGGTTGTCATTAAGAGCCGGGGGCCGGGGATTTTCCCCGGCTACTAAGAGAGTGGCCCCCTGCTACTTTTATTGGAAAATAGAACAACAATTGAACCAAAAGAAATCCCTAGCCATTTGATTCCCCGCCTACTTGTTGTATTTACCCGGCAACTTGAAATCTTAGTGACAAGCCCGATGATAGATTTACACTTGCATTTGGCAAATTTCCAGGTGCTATTTTCAAACCCAGCTCTATACTAACCTATTTGAGAAGGGGTCAAGCCTTTTTTGGCTAGCTTGTATATTTGTTCCTTAACATCATCTGATGTCAACTTCAACCACTAGAACACAAAGTAACAATAAGACAATGTGAGATTCTAAGGCCTCATCCACACATTTATGGATATTTTTTAAGGAAAATTATTTCTTTCTGCTTTAGCCTTCAATCCCCTTGTAAAGGACATTTACAAAAACAGTCCCCAGAGTGGAGATTTTTGAAAATGCCAGCTTATACTTTACGTGTAGACGGACAAAAATGGAGGTTTTTTAAGACAATGATGTCATAGATCATATACCACTAGCATCATGCATGCTCTGTAGGGGATGCTATCCATGCTAACCAAAGTGTACAATATCCCACGCCAAATACATTAAGGCCCAATTCAAACATTGATCTTTTCATGTACTGAACGTAATAACTTTTTAGGTAGACCCAAATGATGCAAGTTCGATGGTTGATTCAGACGTCGAAATCAATTCATTTTCATGATGCTCAATGGTCTAAAATGCTTACAAGAGAAAATAAATTCTAGTACCATAGTTATTCGGCTACAAGCTGATCTAGGCTATACGCCGAGACCCTAAACTTTGAATGCGAAGAATCAACATAACCAAGAAAAAAAATAAATCCAAAATACTCTGCTTTAACCTATAACCTATTTGTTACAAGAATATTACTATTACTGCTGTAACCTATAACCTATTCATTGCAAGACTTTTAACTACGGTAAAACCTAACATTTTCGGGAAAAAAAAGTGACCTTCTCCAAGAAAATGTACACTTACTTAACGCATTTCCGTTAAACAAGCAATGGCTTTAGAAAGCATTTTAATGGTTTGATTATTGCTTCTAACGGATGGGCGAAAATTTCTAACGGCTTTGGAAAGTGTTCAAACAGATTGCCTTGATTTTCCAAACGGTTTGCTTAACAGGTTGACTAAACGACATAAACGGCTTATATGATTGAAGTTTTAAACAATTGTTGTTTGGGTTTTTCACTGCTATCAATCTTTCTTCTTGCCTTCATCACATTATGCTTCAAATGGTCACAGAACCGCGTTTCAATAAAATCAAAGCACAGCAGTTCGTGTTGCCTTCGTCCGTGCTTAATAACCAGGCTAATGTTTCCAAGCACGTGTTTGACCAAACATGGCAGATTGTTTACACATTTCTTGACATCTTTCATTTGTTTTAGACCTTCCCTCGTTGTAAAAGGCTTACCAATGAGTATAATTGCGAGACCTGTTTTTGTTAGATATTTTGACAATTTGGAACTGATTATCTGTGCTTAGCTAACTTATCATTCAGGTTTGTAGTTAAGTGATTGATTTGATCTTTTGCTGCTACTTGCTTGGCTCATAAGTGAATACATCCCCGTTTAGTGGAGTTTCAATAAACTGGAAAAGATTTTTTTTCAAAACTGTTGGTTATAAGCTGAAAGCCCCTATTGGAATCAAATTTCACTTAACTTTAGCTTTAATTTGTGTAAAAATTCCTCATCTTATAGCCGAATAAATATGGTAAAGTATCCATTAGGTTTGGCACTTAAGAAGTTTGGAGTTTGAAACGAAGTTGCTCCACAGTCGAAATTCCCATGTGGGCTACTTGATCTTAATTCATGGGACGACCCAAATTAAACATGTTGGACTTAATTGATTCAAACAATGGTCTCTTCATTTACTTAATTGAAGGGATTAGGTTTGGCACATGAAAAGTATGACGTTTGAACTGCGCCTGACTAAAATATGCAAAACTTGAAAATGTGGTACGGTTAAAAACACCATGGCAAAACAGGACAATTAGAAATGGTAAGGAGAAATATGTTGTTCAGGAGGTAGGATAAACTCTCGTAAGGAACAAAATACGAACCAATCCAACAAATAACACACGAAGGTAACATTCACATTATTCTTAAATGGTACCCATTCAAATTTAGTCCAACCGCTCAGTCAGACAACTCTCTAATATGGACACCTCTATATTACGGACAGTTTCCAATGTCCTGACAAAATTATCATATATTTTCTTTAAAAAAAACCCTCTATAATACGGACTCTCTCTAATAAGGGGAACGGACACTAAATATCTGCCCCAGAGAGTAAATTCATATAAACTTAACCTCGGACACTACGGTGATCAGGTGAATCCCGAATCCCGATAAGGTGAATCTGCA